GTTTGGTTTTTTTTAATGGTGGCTTTTTCTGTAGAAGTAAGAGAGAAAAAAAAGCTGGCACCGAATCAACTTTGTTCCACTGTCGGTGTGCTCTCGTTATACTCTTGAATTCGATTAAGCCATGAACTACCGTCCTTCGACAAAGAAATGTCGTAAGAAATCCACAGAAGTCCAAATTTTGAGACTGTTCGATTTTTTCACCCTCCCATAGCTCTATCAAAGATGGGCCTTTCAACTCCACCAAAATGCAATGTTATGCTCAGATCAAGGCTTACATTTGTTTTGTTGGGTTTTTTTGCTTTTTATGTTTATTGACAGGAACAACACATAAGAAACTTTTTTCTCCTTTTGTTTCTCGTATAAAAGTATACCCAAACAGACTTAAGTGGATTGCATGCGACACCGACGAAAGCTACTGTGCCAATAGACCATGATTCATTATTTAGCAATGCTTGTTATATTTTCACTGTCCACACCATCATCATCCGGTGCCTTGCCGACTGGCGTGGGCGATCATGGACCTCCGCTTCACTCTGTCTTGCGTTGGAGCGATGGTGTCTGTAGTTCTTTCTGTTCCCAGCCATGTTGTCAACTTGTCCAGTATCTTTTCCGTCTGTCTGCCTCTGCCTCTCTTTCCATCAAATTTTCCTGTTGTTACAATATTTCCCAATACTTCGTCCCGCATTGTGTGTCCATTGAATTCTGCCTGTCGCTTTCATTATTCGTCATAAACTGCCGTCTACAATTTGCTTCAACCAAAACTTCTTCGTTTGTTTTTCTAGCTGCCCATACGATACGCAGCTTGCGTCTTATGAACCACAACGACATCGCCTCAATTAATTGTTCTTTCCATCTGTCTGTTGATTGTCAATACTTTGCACCATATAATAGGACTGGCTGGATGTTACTTTTCAGTACTTTTTTTTCTTGTTTCCAGTGACAGATTGATGTTTGTAAGTATCTGTTTCATTGTGTTTTTGCTTGGCAAATGCAGCTTTTAATTTCCGTATGACATCTCCCATCTGATGGTAATATGGTCCCCAAATATTAAAAACGTTGTACTTGCTTGAGGATGGAACCATTGATTTTGATATTGCAGATTGGGGTTGTAGTTTTTCTGTTTTTCTGTCCACAACTCACCGATAAAACCACTGGCAATCTGCTTTTTCATTGCGCAGTACTAAGCAATAAATGGACTGGCGTCTGTTGTGTTGACAGTGGTTATACGCTTCACTGTTGCACGCAGCAGACCCGAGTTCGATTCACGAGTGTGGAGAAACTTGTATCGAGAATTTTGGTATTTCTTACTTACTTGCGTACTCTTTCGCTATACCATCAGGTACATTAGGGGGAAGATTTCAATACTTCTGCTGGGAAGTTATATCCCTTTTAGCCTCAGTTGACCTGGACATTGAATTATCTAAATTATGTCGATGGGGGCGTAAAACACCTTTATCAGGCTAAAATGAAATATAATGGGAATACAAAACTCACGCTGGATTACTTTCAACACTGCTGATCTACATAGAAAACACAGAGGGGCCTTTCGTGGTACAAAGGTTGGGGTGTTCTCCTCTCATTCAATAGGCCCCGCGTTCAAAACCTGACAGTGGCGGAAAGTGTTCTTCTCTAAAATGTTCTTCTTTCACCTCCTTTCCTGCCTCCTCACCATATCCTGTCGTCTGTTTTAGTCTCCACTTTCTGCTACTACACCCCCCCCCCTTTTTTTGGGCCCCCTCCTTTGGGCTCCTGGCTCTTTGTGCAGCCTTTCTACTGCTATTCTTCGGCTCCTTCTTTCTGTTGTCATTCAGCCACAAACCTGATCTTATGGTACGTTAAATCTTAATTAACATTCTCGGATAAAGGCAAAACATCTCAAAGGTCCTGTGTGCAATTTGAGAACGATAAAACACCCCTTGGTGGTCCAAAATCGATAAGAGTTGGCCGCCACCCGAGCAACATTCAGAATTGATTAACACCAAACTGAAAATATTTAATGTGTCCCGCACTCTCATATGACCTTATGCAGTTGCAAGCGCCGTAAAACACTTACCAAAGCAACGAAAACAAAGGAGCACTGTATGCCCCCCACGCGCTCTTAATCAAGACGAAAAGGATGTGAGCTTTAAGTTTTGTTGAAGATCGTCTCTTGTCCTGGACAAGCCCAGGTCCTCATACTCTGATGGACAGGAAAGCCCAAGTGCAAGTTTCCTGCTCTGCTCACAAGGGTTGTAAACCTGTTCATGTTTGTGTGAGTTTGTGTGGGGTGTGTGTATGTATGTGTGTGTTTGTGTGAGTGCGTGTGCGGGAGCGTGTATGTATGTGTGTACCTGTGTGTATAGGTTTATATTATTGTGCGTATGTGTGTGTATGTGTGTGTGTGTGTGTGTGTGTGTGTGTGTGTGTGTGTGTGTGTGTGTGTGTGTGTGTGTATTTGCGTGTATATGTGTGTGTATATGTGGGCAAGTGTTTTATGCGTACCTACATACATAAATAAATGAGTGCGAGTGTTTTTATTTCTTTGTAAGTATAAGAGTGAATATTTGCGGGTGTGATAGACTATTCGTTTGTCTGTGTGCTTTTTTAAATGCGCGTATTCAATGTAGATGTGTTATGCCCCCATCGTCACAGTTTATATATCATGTAGGAGGCGGGATTCGACCTTGCCTCTCAGGACCAACCCAAGCAGAGAAGAATAGATGATCCCCCTTCTTGCATAGCCTAATAGTATTGATAGGGCTGTTAAACCTTTACCATTTCATATTTTTATTGGAGCCTTCATTTTTATAACGTTAATACCACAATGCGGAGAATCAAGCTTCGAAAAAGAAACGTCGGAGAAGAAAAGTTATGTCCCAATACCAGACAAAACCAAACCCGAAACGTCTATTTCTGATCTCGGAAACCACACTCTAACGTACAATAATATTCCTTAACATCAAATCCGAAAACTCAAGTGATTATATCTTTATCAAAGTGCGTGGCTAAATCTGCATTTTATCATGTTTGACTCACCTCTTGACTCTTGAAACCTAACCGAAACCCCTAGATTTGGCCTGTTCCTTGAAGGGAGAGGGGTCTGTTGATGAGTGGGGGGGAGAGAGAGAGAGAGAGAGAGAGGGAGAGAGAGATGGTTGTGGGGGGGGGGGGCGAGACAAGAGCCTTGATGGCCCATGTTTTCGGTCAAATAGCCAAAAATAGTAACAATTATGTTGCAGAGGAAAGAGGTGAGCAACAATCTCCCCATAAAAGGAAAGAAAATGAAGAGAGGTGAGTAAAACATGATATAATGGAGATTTAGCCAACGCACTTTGAAGAAGATATAATCACTTGAGTGTCGCCGTTATGAATCAACTCACGAACGTTGATTAAGAGATCCTGCTGAAAAGAGGGTATATTACTTGTTATTTGTATTTCGCCGATACCTTACGAAATCTGCTTAACTGGGGGGTTTTGTTTGTTTTTTTAAGAGAAAAAAAAGAGGCTATTATGAACAGTTTATTTATAGGGTTTGACCGGAAAATATATCTACGGTGGTGTCGGTAGTCAAGTGGTTAAGCCACTGGACACGTATCCACGAGACTGCGACTTGGGGGGTTCGAGACTCAGCTCTGTCTGTCGATTTGTCCTTGGGAAAGGCACTTTACACGAATCTACTTATTTGGTTTAGTCCTATCTACGATGAATCTTTACTCTAAAATTTCTAAATTCTATCTGCTCAGTGCTTAGTTTTGAGAAATGTGACATCAAGAATTGATTTTTGAGTTTCACAACATGTCAAACTTTTTCAAATATAATTCTTTGAATATTATGTTGATAACGGCTCCGAATAATCTTACTATTTTCATAAAGCAGATAGAACATTTTTGGTTTCTGACCTCATGGTTTTATTAACTCAAAGCAGCCAAAAATGTCAGATAGAACTTTTTAATTATATGGCAGCGGAAAGTTTAATTCGAAGGTGCTGTGCCTGTCAATTTCACACATTTGTCATAAAGATATCTTTGTTAATAGATTTTTAAAATGTTGGACAAACAAGAAACCAGGTATCCCTTTTTATATCAGCAAGTTGATGTCAACAATTCAGAAAGTATAATACATGTATTGTGATTTTAGCAAATTTGTGTCAACCTAGCATAGAACTAGCTGCTGTTAAAACTAAATAATGCACTAAAACTAAAATATTATTCTGCTCAAACGTTATTTCATCTAATTTCGAGTTCTATTGTTTATATATTTTTGATAATGTATTTTTCATAATAGTTTTATTCATATCTATTTATTTATTTCATTTCACTTTTTTAAAGGGCTTGAAGGGTAGGGGGGTGGCTCCTGAAAAATATGAGGCATTATACCAGACGAACTTTGCGTCTTTGGTTGGAGAGGGCGTGGAAGAGGGGGTTTACACTGAAGCCATGAAGGATCACTAGAATGGCAATATAATAATCTGGTTTTGTTTCCCTGCGTTCTTGGTTGTCTCACCCAACCAGTTTGCCTTTTGAGTTGGTTCCGATAAATAATAACAAATAATATTTGTTGCTTAGCACATATCCCTGTTCAAAAACAAGATATGTGCGCTCTACACGGTAATATTATCGGAAACACGTAACTTAAAACACCCTAGAAACTACTCTTTTCAAGACTCGATAGTTTACTGTCCATATTACAATCATCAATAAAGGACATTTTGCTTATCTATGGACTGGCCTGAATTATCTAAAGTGTGTCGCTAAGGGGGGAAAAAATCCGCCTACAGTCATCTTTTAAAACTGATGGGCCACAATGTATTCAAGACCATATTTGTTGACATTTAGAGTGCTCTGGCCAGCCCAAGCTAAACTACTGAACAGGTCTTTTCTGAGTGGAGAATGAGTGACAACCGAATCCTACAACACACATCAAGTTTTACGACTGTAAAGTGCTTTTTGAGTGGAGAAGGAGTGGGCATCTCAAGTGAGTTATTTACCCATTTACCAGTCTCTCCATCCTCAATCTCGCAGTTTGGAACTGGCACAGCATAAACCACTCATTTCAAGTGATGCCAAGCTACTATCTGTGTGGATGCAAGTTAATGCAGATTAAGCCTTCTTAAACGGGTGAGCAGCGAATGTTATGCTTTTAACAATACATCGAGAAATTTGAAACCTATCACTTTAAAAACTGTTTTGATTTTTACTTCTGTCTTTCTGTTGGGATACGACGCCGTTATACCTAATACAGAGAAAGATCTTGTTAGTATGTTAGTGTTTTAGCGTCTTTAATATGGTTACTTGCTCTGTATGCTTGCTGTGAAAATTGAGATTGTTACAGAACGCTGTCAGGTCTGCTGGGGTAATAATTGTACTGGAGAGCACGAAGAGCTTCTTGTTGAGCGGAAGCTAGTGTTATACAAATCATGCTATTTCTATTATTATTATTATTATTATTTAATTA